GAGCATACACTTTTCCTAAAATTTGATTACTTTCGGCAGACCTTTTAATCATATTAAAGCAATAAAGTTATTAGGTAAAAACCAATTTTTTTGCAAATTAAAATTTTGCCAACTTGTGCCTTTTACACTTTTCAAGTTATACTCAAAACTTATTATTTATCTCACATCTTAATAAATAAATGAAAATGTCTCGCCTTACATTACTTTTTGCCACGCTTGTAGTGAATTGGAACCMCCAAAGCAACAGATAACCAACGACTGCTAACGGTGCAAATATCCGGTATCTGATTAAGCAGGACGTGCAAAGCTTTCCGCTGATTTATATGCATTTTCTCAAGTCGATCTCTCCTTAATGTTGGCATTATACGTGTCTCTATTTATGTATATGTATATACATACATAMTCGTATACCATATATGTATATTAAGTTTATTACTTTCACGTTTWCCGCCCTTCAATGTTTACGTTAGTCACCTTGATAGATGTCAGAGATTATGTGCGATTTGCGTGTTACTGCATTGCGTTGTGCTGAGATTTACAAAAACTACCAAGCACGTTATTTACGAATTTTACATATTTTCCRTTCAAAGCGTTATACAAATATACATACGTGTCTTAAAAACAAAAAGTTAAAAAATGTTTTTATAATAACATTCTTAGCCGCCTCCACGTAGAGCTTTCATAATCGAGAAACAGATAACAAAAAAGGAACCAGTTTATGTTTCGTAGTGGGCGAACCTAGAACCCAYAGTCTACCGAAAAGAATTCAAGCTTACACAAGTCAATGCGAATTAGTCGTAAAGGGAGCACGAAAAAGTAAGGCAGTGCACTAACGATGATGTTAATAGAGTACAGGGCCTATGATAGTATACCCACGTGATCTCACAACTCAAACATTTTTGTGGTCGAAATTGCCAACAATGAGATTAATGTTTGCTATCCATCCCTTTGAACTAGAATATTAATTAACTATAATCTTAAATAACTATACTCTTTAAATAACCGGAGCAGTGTTTGGGATGTGCAAGCATGATAAACCCGAGTTTTGGGTCGATATGTGATGAAATAACTGATAAGGAGCATGCATCAACTTCTTTGTAGAATATGGTCGAACGAAAGCATGCCCAACGATTGGAATTTAAGTGTGCTCTGCCCAATTCACAAAAACGGAGACCCCACAATCTGCGCCAACTACCGTAGGATAAGCCTCCTCAACATTGCACATAAGATATTATCGAACTATCAGTGTGGCTTTAGGACAATCAAAAACATAGGAAAAACCATGCGCCAAATCTTGAAAAAGACKTGAAAAGATAATCGACATACACCATCTCTTCCTCGATTTCAAATATGTTTTTGACAGCACGAAAGGTCCCTTCAAAACTAATACGGTTATGTAAACTGACATTGAGCAATACCAAAAGCTCCGTCAGGATCGGGTAGGTTCCCTCCCAGCCTTTCATTGCCAAACTGAAACTTCGACAAGGCGACTTTCTTTCGTACGACTTCTTCAATCTACTTTTGGAGGTACAATCTTCGTCTAACTTGGAACCAGCATTAACACCAACAACAACGTCAGCCTCGAAATCGAACGGAGAATAACTCTTGCCAACAGGTGCTACTTCGGACTGAGTACGCAACTGAGAAGTAAAGTCAAAAARCTTGCTTAAACTCTTCACATTGAAGTCGTTTTGCATCGAATTTTGACTGGCTGAAACTATTAATGGGAACGCCACCGACAACAACTCATCAAATTGAAGCACGCTATGACTGAAATTCGCAACGGAACACGGGGCATTAATTTTTCATTGTGACAAATCACGACATTCCTTTTAGTTATTCTGTAAACAACTTTCAGCGAGAATAATACAAGGTGGGTTCCAAAGTAAACAGGAATCAAGGAATTTTGAATCTAGTGCCCTCTGGTGGCGCCATCTATACATATATGGAGACTGCTGCGTTAGAATCTGCTATCTTTATCGATTGTCCAGTGAGAATTTCGTGACATTTCATTGATTGGAAGTGAAGATATCGCGTTTTAAGTGTCAGCATGTTTGTGTTATCGGTGCGAAAGTGAGCTTCGAACAAAGAGACAACATTAAACTTTGTTGTAAAATTGGTAAAACTTTTTTTTTTCATGAAACAAGTTTATTGCGATGATTTATTGCATTTTGACCGAACATGTGGGCTTACGAAAGGTGTGTGCACGGTTTGTTCCGCTCAGAATCCAACATTCGACTCGACGCTTGTGACCAGTTATTTGACCATAAATCACATTTTAACCATTAAATACTCCCTGTATTCACCTGATATGGCACCGTGCGACTTTTTTGTTTACGGGAAAATGCATTTGCCCATGAAAGGAAAGCATTATGCAGACGTAGAGGCCATTSAAAAGGCTTGCACCGGCATACTGGCGGCTATACCGGCCAACAAGCTAAAACACTCGTTCGTCATGCTTTTGGACCGTGCAAAAAACTATATTGCAGCAGAAGAAGACTATTTTGAATAAATTGATAGTGCCGAAAAAACCCTTTGGTCTGTTTTTCTTTTTAGACCTGTTTAATCTGGAACCTACCTTGTATATTTTAAATCTGTAAATCTATGTAAAGTAGAATTTCACAGAGGTTTAACAGATTAAACGGAGAAAGAACACCGTAAGCAGTGAAACAATGAATTGTGGCTGCTTTATGACGTCACAGAAAAAGTTCACGGTATTACTTTGGCACAACAGCCAACTTCAATCAGATATTATAAGTATTTTTGCTTTCATGAAAAGGTTAACCACTATTACTGAGCTTATAACGTCCTTACGTACATTATATTCATTTAAATGACACAAAAGTGTGGGATTACAGCCAGACCGCAGTTTGAAGCCTACCAGAACTTTTCAACTTTTCCTTTTTACCGGACAGCGAGCATATACATACAAACATATAAGAAGCATAATTTTCACTTGTTTACTTATCTACTTATACTTACTTAAGCACGTGTTGCTAAGAAGTAAAAAACAAAAAAAAAAAAAAAAAAAAAAAAAAAAAAAAAAAAAAAAAAAAAAAAAAAAAAAAAAAAAAAAAAAAAAAAAAACAGGATAATACAGAGTTCCACTCAGAGCTCGAGGCGCAGCAGACGTTTGTAGTGTTGTTGGCGCAAAGTATTACCGAAAGCATTACAGCAAAGGCAACAAGGAAGAACTTCTCTGTGTGTTGCCAACTTAATTATACAGTTGAGTGGTAAATGAAGAAAGACGACAAGGCATTAATCTTATTTTAACCGCAAGTTCATTTGCAATTAAGTAGCTATATACTATATATACTATATGTGTATATGTACAACTGCGGGCTAAGGCCAAGTTATGTTAATGTTGTGCTGCTGTCAGCATGTGCATGGTTACACTTTGCGAAAAGGACATTTGGCTGGGCTGTGTAAGCGCGGAAATGCCTAAAGGAGTTAAATATTAATTGTGTGCCTTGAATAAATTTTAAATAAACTATTTGTCATTGCAGTCCCTACACTTTATCACTGTCGGTTTTCTTTCTTTTCTGAATTGTATTTTGGGTACCAAGTACAATAGAGGAATAATGAGGAAAAAAAAAATTTTATGCAACTTTCTTGAAAAAAGCGCACGGAGTCAAATTTGGAGAATACGTTACTCTTTTAATGTCTAGAACAAGGCAGGTCTTCCACGAACTCTCGACCGTCYTTGAAGGCCTTGCACCCATCATAGGCTTGTGTTTCAGATAAAGTGTATCACCGTAAGCCTTTTCCAACATTCGCAATGATTCCGYACACGAAATTTGTGACAAATCGAGAAGGATCGTTGAGAGATCGCTGAAGACATGTCTCGTTCCGAAGGTTAAAAGAGTAAAGTGCTTGAAAATCGGCATTCCAGCATTAGAGAGATGCTAAGATGGCTAGACGACTATCGCGCAAGATTTTTTGAATGATTTTAGTGGATATTTTGGGAATGAAAAGCGTTCTTGCTCKACTCGTCTTGATTAAGCTGAATTTTTTTTCGGAAAAAAGTACCCTAAACAAGCCTCTTTGAATATGCTTGGTTGTGTGAACTCCAATCCCACATTCAAAGAGAGCATTATTACTGCCGATGAGGCATGGGTTTATGAGTTTGACATGCAAACAAGTCAACAATAATCGGAATGTAGGGAAGAAATGAGCTGAAATTAAAAAAAACCACGCCAAAGCAACTCAAAAATCAAGGCGATGCTAATTGTCTTTCCATATTCGGGGTTTGTGTATCATGAATTTGTTCCCGTGGGACAGATTCTCAACGAGGATTTCGATTCGCCTGTATTGAGGCATTTGCGTTAGAACATCCGTCGAAAACAGCCGCAATTGTGTAAAAACCAACTAAATATTCATAAATAACTAAATATTTGCGTTTCTTTTGCAATTTCCGGGAACTTTTTTTTATCATGTATGTAATTCTATTTGAAAATAATTCGAGCTGCAGCACTAAACAGAGAAGGTACGACAGCGACTATGCTGGCTAGGTTATATCATCCGAATGGACGAAAATACTCCAGCTATAAAAGTATTCGACGCAGTATCCGCCGGGGGAAGCAGAGGAAGATCTCTACTCCSTTTGAAAGTTCAGGTGGAGAAGGACCTGGCTTCGCTTGAAATCTCCAACGAATATGTGACCCCAGTTCCTATTGCAAACGTATTACTAAAAATATCGGTCAACCTGTCAGAGATACTATTGAAAAACGAAAAAAAATTTCCCGACTTTGGTCCATGAAAGCTGCGAGAATTTAAATTRTTATTTACACCCGTACTCATGCTATGTTAAATATGCCCTTCCTTTTAAGCTTAATTGGTGAAACATCTGTTATACTATGAGGGGAAAAATAATTCTAATAAACTTCTGTGCATATTAACTTAAAATATATAATAATAAATAAAGTTGTACAATAAAACAAAATTAAGTATAAGGGATAAGAGGATAACAAAATTAAAGAAATAAAATGAAAAACACTTACGTGGCTTCGGTGAGGAAATGATCAACTATGGTTTCGCCGCTAAAGAAAAATAAAAAATATGCAAAAATTATACATAAAAAGTAAGGAAAAAAAAAAGAGAAGCATATTTTATAATGCAATATAAAATAAAATCTTTAAAACATAATACAAATTACTGGAATTTAAAACTGAAATCACCAACTATTAAAGCAGCAGGTTCAATATCTACATTTTTTAAACGATAGCGTAAAAAATATTTGAAATAAAATGAAACAAACTGAGTAAGCAGAAAAACGCGAGTTCTTAAAGCAAGATACTGAGAATTTTAGAAACTTACTCCTTTAAAACTCTTTATTGTAGTGCTGCAATGAGTTTGTTTAAATACGCAATACTCATATTTAGGGTAGTCGGGTAATGGTGCGCGTATATGTAGTATCTTTGATTGATTTGAATGGCTTGGAACTCCGAAGTACTCGTATTCACACTAAACTGCTTCACTGGTTTATAATTATCTTGAAACCTAATAACTCAGTTTTGCTACCATTCAAAATCTGTTTTTTGTTTTGTATTTATATGGTACTTACTCTCGTGTCATTATTACAATTATCTATCACATACTCAATACAATCAAATTGTCGGATTGACTTACCTGCAAAGAGAGGAAAAAAGTAATCATTTAGTATGTTATTGAATTAAGTGATATAAAAAAATATAAATGGTTAAATTATGTGCAAAAATCAACGATAATTATGGCAAAACTACTACGATTGTGTAAACTGAMGTTGAKCRACACCAAAAGCTMMGTCAGGAKCGGAAAGRACTCCYCCGAGSCATTCGRTACCAAGCGWGCTTTCARACAAGGCGACTCGTTATCGTGCGATTTTTTCAATTCAATGCTGGAGAAACTAATATGAGCTGCAGAGTTAAATAGAAAAGGTAAAATCTTCTATAAGAGTGCTGCTGGCRTAYGCCGAYGATATTGATATCATTGGTCATAACAACCGCGCCGTTAGTTCARCTTTCTCTAGATTGGACAAACCAGCGAAGCAAATGGATTTCGTAGTCAACGAGKGCAAGACGAAATATCTACTGTCATCAAACAAACAGTCGTCGCAGACAATTTCGTCTATCTTGGCACCAGTACTAAYACCWACAATAATGTCAGCCTCGTAATYCAAMGCAGAMTAAGTCTTTCCAAGAGGTGTAGCACCTTCGGACTGAGTAAGCAATTGAGAAGTAAAGGCGACGAATAAGSACCAAATTCTATAAGTCAGTCATCATCCTCGTCCTGCTATATGGTTCAGAATCATGGGCGATGCCAACATATGTTGAGTTTTCGAGAGGAAGGTTCTTCTGAAGATTTATGGTTCTTTGCGCATTGCCCACGGCAAATATCGSATTTGATTAAATTCGAGATATCCGACGACATTGACATAGTTCAGGGAATTAAGGTACAGCGCCCACGTTGGCAAGTTATTAACGTCCGAATGGATGAAAACACTCTAGCTCTGAGAGTATTCGACGCAGTATGCGCTGGTGGAAGCAGAGGAAAAGAGATTAACTTGATCAGCTACTTCGCAGCAGAAATGCATGGCCTGAGTCAGTGAAATGCAATGCTCACGCTAGCCACGAATTCTCCGCTACTCGCTTGAAGCTGTTTAGGCTCTAGTATATGGTCTTTTAGAATGCAGTTTTCTGTTTTATACGAAAACTCATATTGTCGAAACTCACCATATTAATAATTTATAATATTTTATATGATGAAGCAATAATGTAAACCGCAAATTTTTAATTTCCATTCACTTTTGATTTGTGGATGACCACATAGCTATCAACCTATTAAATCGAACCAATCCGATCGAGTTTAGCTGTGGGCAAAACCACAAGAAAACACTGTCTAGTTTCGCCCGCACTCGGGCTTCCACATATCACGCATGCATTTAAAGGTCGAAATCGAAACAAGTACGTGTGTGCATATATAATATGCATGCCTATGTATATGCTACAACTAACGTGTATGTACAGCGTAAAACAAACGGACAACATTGCGGCAGGAGGAAGGAAAATCGAAGAGCCTTGACCGAAACTACGGGCGGAAACTACTTGTTTTATCATATAGCAAAAAGATCGAAAAGGTTGCATACACTACAAACATATATATGCGTATATGTACTTAGATAAATATGAATGAGTATACGTACGTATTTAAACGTGTTTGTTGTAACGTATTTGTAGTGTTACMAACAATCATTAAACCATTTGAAAGAGCAAAATGACTGCAAAGTAAATAGGACACAGCAGCAATGCCGCCAACAAATAGTAGTCCTACTACATGCTAGAGCCGGGATTATTGGGATTGCAAAACGAATGAGCACCGCAGGCAGTAAGTTAATATGCTGAAGGCGAAAAGCAAACACTTGGCATTCGTTCGAAATTCGAAATGCGTTGGCAGACGTCGACTTTGTCGTCGTCACCAGCGTCTTTGTGGTAATTGGTGACGACAAATCGTGAACGCCAGCCGCCGTGTTGAGKGTGAGCTCAACACGCCTTTCAGTTGGACAYGGTTCATTTGCCAATGTGGTCGAATGCTTTATTTGTGAACAACAATAAGTTAATCCATCACAAGGATTAGGGTTAGAATAAAAAACCATGACGATTGCCGCTTTCTCTTACTTTTGTCGAACCCCCGAAAAGATCCGTGAAAAGTCTTTTGATAGCACGAAAAGGAGTTGTCTTTATGCCGTTTTGTTTGAATTTGACATCCTCGCAAATCGAATGCGGCTGTGTAAACTGACGATGTGCAAYACCATAAGCTTCGCCAGGGTCGGGAAGAACCTTTCCGAGCCGTTCGAAATCAAATGAAGTTTCAGACAAGGTGAACTAAGTGAACAAGGACAAAACGAAACATTTCCTGTCATCAAACAAACAGTCGTCGCACTCGCGTTTTTGCTCCCACACCACTGTTGACAGTCRTAACTTCGAAGTCGTAGATAATTTCCTATATCTTGGAACTAGTATTAAAAACAACAACAATATCAGACTCAAAATCCAAAGCAGAAAACCTTTCATACTAAGTAGGCAAATGAGAAGTAAAGTCCTTTCTCAACGAACAAAGACCAAATGATCTCGTCAGGTCCGCCCTCCTATATGGTGCAGAGTGCAGATGATAACATCTGATGAGTCGACGTTACGAGAGTAAGGTTTTGCGGAAGATTTATGATCCTTTGCGCATTTTGAGCATTGACAACGGCGAATACTGCARGGGTTAGAGTCTATTCTGGATAAATAGGAGTTTAACCTGCTACAGTATTCAGAACGAAGCTGCGCAAGGGTCACTATCGTKTCTCACGACAATTCGAGCTTTTCGTCTGCAATGGGTGGTAATCTAAAACCGTTTAGACCGGCATTTTTGGTTATTTTCGCCATTTGTGATTCCACAG